TACGCGCAATCGAATTATCGAAATAAAATTAGAAACCATACGTTTGTCCCGAAATGACCTAGTGTGTGTCGAGTGGGCGTTAAATCCCATTTCTCTCTCTCATGATCCCGTGAATATTTTAGGCCTTGATTAATTAAGGCCAAGGTCACAATCTTAGGCCCCGGGCAGATCTTGGACCCCTGGCGGAGCCGGGTATCTAGGTAAATATTCACATGCCTATAGTACAGCGCTGTAGAACACACGTTTCACCCAAATTTGCAATTATAATTTCAAAGACAAATTGACAAAACCTGTTGTGTCAAAGAGTTATCTGCTGACCTTTGATTGTGACACTGGGTTGGTGAGCTGAAGGTAGAACAATATCATAATGGAAAACTGTTTCGGGATCATTTTGCTTGTTCCCGACTGGACTTTACATGTTTGTCAATTTCTTTGTTAACATGCTCCATAAGGGTAGTTATCAAAACAACACGGAGCAAAACCCACGAAGTTGGACAGGCGACCATACCCCTTGTCGTCAGATTGTTGTCTGGGAGCTGTACATTCTGTACTCTGTTAGATCTATTTACCTGTTCCTTTCAATTTGGGTTCATCTGACACACCTAATGTTTGGTGCCGTATAATGTCTGACCCCTGTTTGTAAATATATTGTTGAATTATCTGTACGTCTAATAAATCATAGAGACATTACTTGGACTCGGTCTTAATTTAAGACGACATAGAAATGAAATGAAATAAAATGGAGTTTAACGTCCTACTGTTCTGCTCCGAACTGGACTAATGAAGACGGACATAAGCCATACAGAGTGGTATGAGGGAAATTTTGCCCGGACAGCGGCACTACGGCCTACTCGTATATCGAATTCCAACTGCCAAGGGATCTTTTACGTGGACGCCAATGTGTACACGGGACCTCGGTTTTTCGTCCCATCCGAATGACTAGACAGCTGTCCTTGTCAGGCCCTCCGTCCTGCATCATTAACAAGGGGGAACCACGCCGGAAAATCTGGATGAACTTTCTCGGCCAATGCAGCGATCGAACACCCGACCTCCAAGCTAGCGAGCCAGCGTCTTACCCACTTAGCCACCGTGACCCCCAGACGACATAGAACGTATTTGGTGAATATAATGATACCTTGTGCATTTCACTAATATTCTCTGGGCGGCAGGTCTAATCGACTAGTCATTACTTATTCCCAAAACACGTCAATGAAATGAAATGGGGTTTAACGTCCCACTGTTAATGAAGATGGGCATACGCCATACAAAGTACTATGAGGGAAATTTTGCCTGGGCAGCGGCGCTACGGTCTACTTTGCTATCGAATTGCAACTACCGAAAAATTCCGTTGAACTTTCCCGGTCAACACAGAGAACGAACACTGGAACTCCAGGTTAGCGGAGCCAACGTCTTACTCACTGAGCCACCGCGGTCATACGTCAATAAACGTTCACATGCAGAGATCGAACACTGAAACTCCAGATTAGCGTCTTACACACTGAGCCACCACGGCCATACCCATACGTCAATAAACGTTAACATGCATGTACAATCACGAACAGTTTAATTCAGTCGTTAGCGAGAAAACGTCTTACTCACTAAGCCACCACGGCCATACGTCAGTAAACGTTAACATGCATGTACAATCACGAACAGTTTAACTGAGTCGTGTGACGAAGATTACAGAATATACTTACAGCTGTGGTGGCTTATTTCATAACCCACAAACTAAACTAGATTAATCACTTAACTGACTTTTAAAATCTCTTCAATAGAATTTATTCTCATAAAACTCTTACAGTCGATATAAATAAATATAAGGGGAAAAAAAACCCAGAGGTTACCAGGTTATATAACATAAAGTATAGTAATAACAGAACACAATTTTTATGGGAAACAATCACTGGTTTTATTCTAAAAGCACGACGTTTCGACAATGGTTCCCTTTGAAGGCATTCATTGTTAGTCAATATTACCCTTTGGTTGGACCGTGGATCTATTATATTGGGTTGTTTTTGCTTAATCTTTTATTACTTCTTATTGTTATTATTATTTAATTTTTGTAAATGGCTTCATCATGAACTCTTATATATTAAACCCAAGTTTACTAAATGTCATTGTGCTTGATAACGACAAGAGGATACTTGTCGAAACGTCGTGCTTTTAGAATAAAACAGTGATTGTTTCTCATAAAAATTGTATTCTGTTATCACTATACTTTATGTTTCTCATAAAAATTGTGTTCTGTTATTGTGTACCCCAATCACTAAATGCCACTCAAAGATTAAAGTATAGTAAAAAACTAGAGGTTGTTGAACCATACATTATGCAAGAGCTAAGTCTGCCTATTGAAGGTATTTCTTTAGGCCTGAAATATTATCTAAATTATTAATTGGGGGTGGGAGGGGGTGAGGTGGGGTGAATAGTTAACGTGTTGGATGAGAAGGTCTGTGGCGTAGTTTCGATTCCAGCTTATACTTGACAAGGAGTAGGGTAGCCGGGTCCACCGGTTTTCTCCCATTGATCAAGACCCCTATGCGCAAGCGAATTATTGAAACAAAATTGAACCATATGTTAGTCCCGAAATGACATAGTTTGTGTCCAGTGAACGTTAAATTCTCTCTCTGTCGTATGGATGTGAACCACTGCTAAAGACCCCTACAGGCAAGCGATTTATTGAATCAAAATTGAAGCATATGTTAGTCCCGAAATGACCTAGTTTGTGTCAAGTGGACGTAAAACTCACCTCTCTCTCTCTCTCTCTCTCTCTCTCTCTCTCTGCCTCTGCTCTGCTCTATTTCGACTGTCAGGGTTATTTTAGGTGCAGGCGAAAACATCCCAACCGAACAACTAGACTGTGTACCTTGCCAGGCCCTCTGCCCTGCACCACTGGCAAGGAAAACCCACGCAGAAAAACCCCAGGGGCCGTTATGGAACTGGGTACCTCCTGATTTGCTAGCCAGTGCCCTACCCGCTCAACCACCGCGGCTCCCATTATCATCTGGGGACTTGCAAACGTTAACACAACTCATTATACCTTCGAAATAATAATGTTGTGAAATATTTGCCGATGTTCCTGCGAGCGGTGTTTGAAAATAGAAACACAAAACTGAAACAACAAACAGCTGCTGAACCTTCTGAACTTTGGAAGAAATGTTAGGATTTCAAGGTTTCTCTCGAATAGTCGAGTCATTGATTGCGAAATCTTCTTAATTTTAACATAAAATGGTGATCAACAAAATTAAAGAGGACCAAAGAAAATTCAAAGTGCACGTGCTTATCTTGTTTATCCCCGAGCCCCCCCCCCCCCAACCCTCCTCACGGCCTTGTTTAAAGGAGTCGTTTCGTTTATCTGTGGGTTGGTTCCAAACTACCAACCTGCAACGTTAAAGTACTCTGGTAGGTCAGGAGATATAAACAGTGCTAGCACTAACCGTAACCCTATCCCTAGACCAAGACCTAAATCGGTTACCCTAGCCCACAATCTCGCCAACAATCACTTGCCCTAACCCTATTTACATCTCGTGACCCATGACAAAAGCTGCAGTTGGGCTTAACGTTTAGACTTTACCCAAAAATATCCCTCATTGCAGTTGGCACTGGAAAGCAGGGCATGCATTAATTATTTAATTAAAAATTATTTTTAGCTGATAAAATAAAATTAAAAAGACATATTAATCACTGTCACCCGTCATTGTCTCCCACTATTTTATTCCACCCTTCGTTTCTGTTAAAGATGGGTTTGTAACGGATAATTATAAATAAATTATATCGACAAAGGTATGAATGTCTACAATGTATTTCCTCCAACCGTGGTGTTGATCATAAGTTTATTGATATACAATGCAAGGGCAACAACTCTCTTTTGTGTTTGCTTTTTATTTATTTATTTTTTTTATTTTCAAATTGGGAGTAAATTGTTTCTTAAGAATAATACCTGACTGAAAAATAGAACATTTTTATTTATTTATTTATTTATTTGTTTGTGTATTGATTTGTATTTTAAATAAAGTGTAGGGTGTTGGTCGAGCCTTTGCTAGGGATTTTCTATCTCGGTTTCTCCTTGTTAGTGATGCAACGTGGAGGAACCATTATATTATATTAGATGTGTAAACGCCCTTCAAAATAATATATACACAACTTTATTCAACGTGAGAAAATTTCTCACTGAACATTTTAAATAGAATACTGATGAGCCTAGCTTGAGTCTATCATGGTAAATCTCATTTCTATGGGGAAGAATTGTGAGATCACAGCGGAGTTTCCTCTTTGAATGTATACTGCCGGGAGTTCTTTTACGTGCACACCAATTCATACGAGGGGGAACGTCTACTTTTGGCGGTTGGATGGACGAATGGTTAGCACGTGTGCGTTGTGTCATAAGGTCTGTCATTGAGTCGACTGGCGTGGTTTCGATACCCCGGTTGTACGTCACAAAGAGTTGGGTCGCCTGTCCAACCTCGTGGGTTTTCTCCGGGTCCTCCAGTTTCCTCCCACTGCTAAAGACCCCTACGCCTATGGCTACTCAGTCATAAACGGCCTATAGATCAATTTTCGATAAGCTCGCTGAGATGTAAATAAGGTTAGGGCACGTGATTGTTGGTTAGGGTTAGGTTTAAGAATTTGGAGGAGAGGTTAGGGTAAGCATTAGGGCCAGGGTTTGTGTTGGGATTAGCGTAATCTTTGACCAAACCTTTGATGATACGCAGTACTTTAATTTATATACGTATTATAACAACATACCGAAAATGGTCAACATTTCAGTAGACTGTCAATCAAGCGAATCAAACATGCCGGCGAATAAATTAACTTGAACTTTGACCTCACCTTTACAGCCAATCGTATTACAGGTGAGGTGTGTTTTCTGAGAAATTGTCTATATATAGATATTATTCAGAGAAGTCGTGTAATGATATAAAAGATTAGTGCTAAATGATAAGGCCAGTTCAATTTTTCGTCATAAGTCACGAGATGTAAACAGGGTTAGCGCTAATCCCAACCCTAACCCTCACCATGGACCTAGCCACAATGCTTACCTTAACCCTAACCTACAATCTCGCCAACAATCACGTGTCCTAACATTGTTTACATCTCAACGACCTTGACAAAAATTGAGCCGGCCTTAACAAATAGATTTAGCCATAATAATAAAGTGAGTAAATGACTATTTATAGTATCTGACGATACTCCATAAAAGCATACATGATGAGTTTAAGCAACATTTCAACAAACAGTCCTCCCGACAGCGACGATAGCACAGAAATGGAGGCGTCGGGTTCCACAAGAATTGCTGACGATACTTCGGAAAATGCTATGGACAAATTCCTGCAAAATTCCAGAAAGTAAGTCTTTTTTAAATACCTTTTCTGTATGAACCATTTGTATTTTGTCCTTGGGTCAATGTAGGCTAATTAATGATCCAATGTCGTCTATATATTTTGACTTTATAGGGCGGGGACAATCTGCATTACTGTTGGGGTTTTTGGGGGGCTTTTTTTGTTTTTGGGTTTTTTTTTTTAATTTAATTTTAATCGACTTGTATTTGTAATATATTATACGCGAGAAAAAAAAACACCGCAACAATTCGAAAATTTCCGATCAAAATATTTCCAAACAATTTGTTTAAACCTTTGATTAACATGCAGGCGCTTGCCATTTTACATTTAGTCTGCCCTTTTAAACCAATGTAAGGCCTATACTCCAAAACGTGGTTTCGATACCGGTTCTAAGTGACAAGGAGTAGGTTCGTCTGTCCAACCTCGTGGGTTTTCTCTGGGTCCTCCCGCTGCTAAAGACCTCTACGCGCAAGCGAATTATTGAAATTAAATTGAACCATATATTAGACCTAGTTTGTGTCGAGTGGACGTTAAACTCTCTCTCTCTCTCTCTCTCTCGATACCAATTGACTCACAATAGCAACATCCCTATTCTTAGTATTAGACATACCTTAAACTGTCGTTTTAATGGTAACTAAAATGGAAACAATTCAACACCCTTTAATTACGTGCACGATTATTTTTATACGCTCGTGTGGGTGTATACTTCCGTCGTCCCTGTCCGTTCGGGTGTCCGTTCACCGTAACCTTTTGGATTATGGCCCTTAGTTGTACAAAAAATGAGTTTTTAGTGTGTTCTCTGTCCAGCTCTTGCAAAATTTGGGCGTATCTTGCATGACAATCGCTTGGTTTATAAATAAACTAGCAATAAGATTCTTTATCATTCTGGATAACCAAAGAAGAAAATGTTCATTATCGAACTTGGTAACGGTATTGATGCAATAGAACTAAAGTCACTATACACCCCGCAATTTAGTCTCTATCGTCCAGACAAATATTCTACCGGGGTCTGGGTGACCCAGACTAGGTAATTAGAAGCAGGGTTATTGTGTTCTAATCATAGGCGTACGAGCCGGGGGGGGGGGCAGCTGCCCCCCTAACTTTCGGGCAAGCTGACTTTTCGGGCAGACGGATAAAGTGAAATAAATTTTTTATTTCATCTACTTGGCAAAATAAAGTGCCCGAAATCAAATAAAACATTAATTTTACGGGTTGGAATAGCAGTAAAATGCGTTTGCTGCCGTCAAATATTCCAAAATTTTCTTGGGCGGTCCATACAAGGTCAGCTCCGCTTCTTCGTATTTCGAAGTAAACCTTCGCCGCTGTCTGTAAACCTGAAATTTTTCGGGCATTTCTAATTTTGCTTCCCTAACTGTCATCGAGTCCTAAAAAAACACTAATTTTACTTTTCTTTTAATTGAATACCACGAATTTGTACTGAGGTGACTATGGATTAAAACATTTTGTCTGGAGCCACTCTAATTTGTGCGACATTTTTCGGGCATCGATTATTATTTGTGAATGCAGCTGCAACAGTCTGATTGAGTGGTTGGAATTCAGAGTGCGATTTCGGTTACAAAAACATTGGATACTTTTGGAATTGCTTACACGGGCTAGAATAGCAGAAAACGCATTTGCGGTGGTTAAATTTTCAAAATTTTCTCCGGGAGGATGGGTGGGGCCCCCATACCCCGCGACGATTGATTTGTTGTTTGAAATTCGGGTCAGCCAGGTAGGCTATATTGGACCGAATTGAAGTTGCTGTATTCACAGGCTGGAATAGCAGTTAAATTTTCAAAATTTTCTCCCAACAATCCCGTCTCCGTGGACTATGAACGATTGATTGGAATTCGAGTCAGCCACCTTAATTAGGCTATATTATTAGACCATGCACTTCGAAGTTGCTTTGTTCACGGGCTGAAATACCAGGAAAACGTGTTTTCAGCCGTCAAATATTCCAAATTTTTCTTGGGGGGGAGGAGGGTCCATGCAAGGTAAGCTTGGTTTCTTCGCCTCTCGAGGAAGACCGGCGCCGCTGTCTGTAAACCCGAAATTGTTCGGGCATTTCGGGTTCTGCCCCCCTAACTGTCATCGGGCCCGTACGCCTATGGTTCTAATGTCTCGACCAATCAAATTGCTTATCTCTGATTAGCCTGCGCAGAAAATGCTCATCGTTGAATTCTGCGAACTTGTCTGCGATATCACCTCGGTGGAAGCGGGCGTTAAATAAAGCTATTTCACACAAACTCTGTGAGGCATTCCCCTAATGAATAACACCAGGGCCCTTATTCACGAAAACTTAAACTAAAATACAATCGAAATTTTAAGAAATACTGTAACTTCATTGGATATATGCAAATTGATTTTACTGGTCAGCCAATCGAATTGCAGTATTTCTTAAAATTTCGATTGTATCTTAATTTAAGTTTTCGTGAATAAGGGCCCTAGTTTAAACATTATATCTCAATTAGAAGCAGAAGACCTACTGTGTCCCATAAATTGTGATGGACCGACAGACCGATGAACCCCATTTTAACGGCCCCCTGTTTTCTTCAAAAGGATGGAGACAAAAAGAACAATCCATTTAACAATGAACCAAATTAATTTTTTAATTATATTTTTGTTCTTTAGTGAACTGATGTCTGAGTTGAGGCGTTTGGAGCAAGGCGACAGACCGGTTACCGGACAGGGTCACCAGGAGTCCGTTAACCAGTTCTTCGCCAAGAGAATGCAGACGCCTGCTGGTGCTGAAGGAAAAGAGAATGTTCCCAGTAATGTAGACACTGTTGAAGAACACCGACCAGATGCTGTAGTTGTAGAAGTACAGGGTCTTTACGAACAACGACGAGTATCAGCTATGTTACAGTCGGTAGGCTTCAGACGTCAACTGGATAATATAATCCGGGGCAGCGTAGCTGCAGCTCCAAGGCATGAACAGCCAGTTAGATTAAGAACTGGACCACCGCAACCAGCAAGACGCCAGCAACCTGTTGCATTAGGTGCTGGAATACCACAGCCACCAAGACCTGACAGTTCACTATCCTCCAGCTCATCAGGTAACAATTTTCGGAATATTTTAAAGCAAAGTTCAGTTTACTTTAAAATCTGATAGAGAACCGATAATTAAACGAAAGAACATTTGTATTCTTTGAAAATTTCACAATCTAATCCAACATTAATTGATTTATAATTATAGATTCTTCATTACATCTCAATATTACACCAAGACCACCTGTTGCACCAGTATCATCTACACCAAGACCACCTGTTGCAACAGTATCATCAGCAGCACCAGCACCGCCACCAGCAAGTCAACCTCCACAAGACACACCAGCAATTGGTATATGGGAACCTGTGCATTCTGAGTAAGTCAATGTTAGCCATAAGGATATTTGGTGCCGCAAAGTAGCATGTTAAACCCTATTGCATTGCATTTCATTTCATTAATAGATTCTCTTAATATTTCCAGTAGTATATTTATAATGCTTTAAAGCGGTGGACACATTTGCCGAATCATTCGGCCTAATCAGTCGGCGCCGAATTTTATTCGGCCGAATGGGTGGACACACTAGGCGAATGCTTCGCCCGATTCACCAGTCAATTACATCACCTTTCACGTCACATGATTAGACATAGCGGCGACGATGTCGCCAATCAATCACGTGACTGTTCGATGTGAGTGGATGATGAGCGGTGATTGGCTAATGAATTCTACATTCGGGCGAATGCTTCGGCGAAGCGGACACACCAGGCGAATATAATTCGACCGAATATATCAAACATGTTTGATTCGTGCGAATCATTCGGCCGAATCACAGTGGACACACTAGGCGAATTTCGACGCCGATTGGCCGAATCAATGGGCTAGTGTGTACACCGCATTAGTTTCTTCAAAAGAACTATGATGATTAGCCATTTTAATGAATACCTTTAACATCCGTGAGCAATAATTACTTTAAAATTCCTCCCTTTTTAGTACAACACCACGTCCATTAACATGGAATCAGATTAATGAAATACACCATGAAGAATTGGTACAGGATATCAGAGAATTAATAGCACAACATATTGTATCAGATACTCTTGGAGGACAATTCCGTGGAACTTTGGAAGTATTGATGCAGGTTTGTTTTAAAATATTCACCATAGTCTGTCCAGGCGCATGTCCGAGGGTGGGATGGGGAAAGGGGTGTCCATATCCTTTTCTGCTTGCGCAGAGCATATTTTTTTCTGCTAAGTTCATCGAAATAACATCGAACAAAGGTGCGAAGCATTTCCTCCGTTTTGAACTCACTCAACTAAATGACCAGAAATCTTGTCTCAGAGCTTCTGATTTTATAAAATTCACAGGTAATCCTCCCAGACCTCACGCTAAACTCGACGTTGTCTTTACTACCCCAGACCTGCTGAAATTCCTGGACTCGTCCATTATTATTTAGAGCGGTCTCATATTTTACAGGCCGACCAATTTGTAACTAAAATGCAAGGTTGTAACCTTTTGTCTGGAAGTTCCAGCTGATCTGAAATGATGATCAAAATTGCCTAATGGCTATACATAATATCCATAGAGTGACCCGAAAAAAGGCAATCATCCAGAAACTATTACAGCCGTCAAGTCAGAAACCTGTTTTCTCCCACTGCTAAAGATCCCTACGCACAAGCGAATTATTGAAATGAAAATGAACCATACGTTGAGTGGACGACTGGACGTCAATCCCCTCTCTCTCTCTCTCTCTCTCTCTCTCTTTCTCTCTCTTTTGTTGTCATTAGTTACTATTTTATATTCTTTTACAGGGTCGTGTTCCTGAAAATGGTACTGAAGTAGCTGAATATATTCGATCTAATTCTGCCCATGTTCATCAACGAAATGATTTTAGTCATCTGGGGATTGACAATTTACAGGAAGACAACTGGGACAATATATCTGTTACTAGCGTCAGTGCTCATGCTGTTCCCTACACACATGTAAGTCTTTTTCATCGTTCAATATGAAATGAAAATGAAATGAAATGGGGTTTAACGTCCTATTGTTCTGCTCCTAAACTGGGCTAATGAAGACGGGCATACGCCATACAGTGTGCTATGAGGGAAATTTTGCCCGGGCAGCGGCGCTACGGCCTACTCTTATATCGAATTCTAACAGCCATGGGATCTTTTACGTGCACGCCAATGTGTACACGGGACCTGGGTAATTCGTCCCATCCGAACGACTAGACAGCTGTCCTTGTCAGGACCTCCGTCCTGCATCACTGACAAGGGGGAACCACGCCGGAAAATCTGGATGAACTTTCATCATCGTTCAATATTCAATCTGATTACAATACAGATCTATATTTTGTTTCATTTTCTTATACTTTCAATGGCCTACACTACATGTAGATCCGACCAGTTGTAGTGGGAGGTCGCGTCAGGGGTTATACGCGCGGCATTTGATCTCATGACGTCAGCGTTGATGTTTCTAGTGGGTTACCCACAGTTCCGTCCACCTGACCCCAAATACTTACGGTAACAGACCGTTTCATTGGCTAATCCTTCACATCATCGAGAACGCGGGTTTATATAACAATTCTTCCAGATCCTAGTGTAGTGAAGACAAGTAAAACAAAATTTTGAACTGTACAAAACGAAACGAAACAGGACCTGTGTTTTAATCAGATTTTTCAATATTTAAACCCCAATAAATTTGATACGGCCTAGAAAAACCATGCCTGTTCTTACAGTCACTTGGCAAAAAAATTACCGTGTCTAAAATATTAAAAGATTTAATTTATTCCTTTTACAGAGTAACCTGCACTTAAGTAGAGAAATAGCCAGTCTGAAATCGAAACTAGAACAGATGCAGAATATGATGAAATTAAGTTTTGATCTACAGATGGATATACAACGATCAATCAGACAAGAAGTTGCTGCTGCTATAAATAATGGTAAGTATTTCATCATTGAGTGATCAGGACACTGTGGCTTTAAATAATGGAGGGAAGAAATGAAATGGGGTTTAACGTAATGAAATGGGGTTTAACTCCTACCATATAGTGTGCTATGAGGGAAATTTTCCCGGGCAGCAGTACTATGGCCTACTCTTACATTGAATTCCAACTGCCAAGAGATCTTTGACGTGCATGCCAATGTATACATGGGACCTCAGTTTTTTCATCCCATCTGAAAGACTAGACAGCTGTCTTTGTCAGGCCCATGGAGGGAAGAGGTCGAGCAGTTAAGGCACTGTGGCTTTAAAAATGGGAGGGGAGAAGAGGCGAGAGAGGGAGAAATGGGGTTTAACGTCCACTCGATACAAACTAGGTCATTTCGGGACTAAAGTAGCGATATTGTAACTAATTTATTAAAACCAACCACATCAAGTTATATTTTAATCTTTTAAACATTCTTTTATTATTTAATCCTAATATGTGAACTTCTCTTCCTTCTAGGAGCATCAGCTAGCACAACAGCAGCAGCAACACCACCTGCATCCAAACCAGTTTTAGATAGCCATTGCTTGATCTGTCTAGAAAAATTTGCCGACACCGTTTTATATCAGTGTGGTCATATGTGTATGTGTTTTATGTGCAGTAAAGACTTACAAAGCAGGGGACATAACTGTCCAGTCTGTCGCGCACCTATTAAAGACGTACTTCGTGTTTACAGAAGTAATCAAAAATAAAATGCATTGCCAGACACCTAGTTAAAGATACATTATGCAAGATTAGATAAAGAGCTGACATTTCTCATTGTAATAGTTAACAACTAGATAATGTAAAGGGAATATGCTCAAAATGTCAGTCATATTGCTCCACTCTGAACCGAGATATTAGCATTTGAGTTTTACGCCTAGTCTCAATCATCATTACTTTAGTCGGTAGATAAACAACATAATCTCGATTATCCATTTTTTGATTTAATCATCACAGAGCGTTGAGCAGCAAATCGGATTCGAATCCAGAGAAAATCTGACACATAAGATGGCATCGAGAGTTAATTAGGGTCTTTTATGTTAATAAATGTCTAATTAATAGTTAATATAACATTTAAGGCCTAAAGACTGACCTGCAATAGGAAGATTTAGCTCTTGCATAATGTATGTTTAAATTGTGAATGTAAATATTAAATTAAAAACATATCTAGAAAATTTATTCATCAATTTTATGATCCAAACCTTGTGATAAGTATAGTGTGTTCTAAATTATACACCCTTATTTAAAGTCGAATTTGAACCACTCCCATTTAACCCAACCTTTTCTTTTAAAAAATTTAAAACATTTGTGCATTTAAGAAAGAGTATTTATTGTATATAGGGGTTTCTTTTCATTTAAAATAAATTTATATATACAAAGCATTTGTGATGCATGTTGTTCTTGGTGTTAACATCCGCTTTCCCAAAGGATGATATTGCAGACTGGACCCTTATTCACGAAAACTTAAACTAAGATACAATCGAAATTTTAAGAAATACTGCAATTGACTGCAATTGATCGAATTGCAGTATTTCTTAAAATTTCGATTGTATCTTAATTTAAGTTTTTCGTGAATAACAGCCCAGGTCTTTTTTTTATTATCTTGGTGCACATACACAGGGTCTTTCTTGTGGGAGGAAACTCACGAGGTTGAGAGGTCACCCCTATCTCCAAGCCACATACTCACACCAAGGATCGAAACTACGACCACAAGCCAGAGATCACTGGTCAGCAAGAGCTCGAAGAGCGATGAATGTGTGTGTCCTGTCTTTTCAAAACAATGGATCATTGTGTACAATAAGAGAGAGAGAGAAATGGGGTTTAACATCTACTCGACACAAACTAGGTCATTTCAGGACTAACATATGGTTCAATTTTATTTCAATAATTCACTTGCGTGTAGGGTTCTTTTGCAGTGGGAGGACCCAGAGAAAACCCACAAGGTTGAACAAGTGACACTACTCCTTGTCACATACAACCGAGAATCGAAACCCCACCAGTTGACGCAAAGACAGACCTTATGACACAGCACGCACGCTCTAACCATTTGGTGTTGTTAGCACTCTAATTTGGTCGAAAATCGGATCAATGGGGCAATTAATTAGAACATCATAAACATGACATGTTTTGTTAACACATAGGATGAGACCCAATTCACACCACATGGCCAATCATTTGCATCACATGGTTCGTTTGGCAAATGACATATTTCGTCTCTTGTGCGTGCTTACAGTGTATTTCTTCCCCATTAATATCCCTCCCTTGACATTTGGCACCACATAATAAAAACCTTAAAGTAGACAGTTACCAATATTTACAATTTATTTATCAAATTATTGTTACACTGTTGGGGTTATTATAAATTATCTGACACTCAACTGATTTATTAACCTAAACCACCCTGAAAATTAACAATAAGTAGTTCTTTTATAACTTTCCTGCCTTTTCCATAGCCTGTAATTAAAAGTATATTATTTAGAAACATGTTAAAATCATTCCAGAAACATATTAAAATCATGTCAGAAACATATTAAATCATGTCAGAAACATGTCAAAATCATGTTAGATCAGAAACACGTTCAATTCATACCAGAAACATGCTAAAATCATGTCAGAAACCTGTTCAAATCATGTCAGAAACCTGTTCAAATCATGTCAGAAACCTGTTCAAATCATGTCAGAAAACTGTTCAAATCTGTTCAAATCATGTGAAAAATGTTAATTAAAGCCGCTAATTGTCATTTTAGTTTTGCGGACAATGATCTAATTTTCCATAGCGAAATCCATGCTTCATTGTACTCCAATAGATTAAATTAAGAAAACAAAACCAAATTATCAATAAGAGCTAATCTCCCAGCTTGGATTCAAACAGATTATAAAGACACTCCTCAGATTGTAAAGTCAAAGGTCAAAGACTGGACAACTAGTGTAGTACTACCGGACTTCTTTATTTGTTGTGTTCCTTGTGATCGTAAATAATACTACAGCAACAATGATTTCACAGCTTTATTAGTAAACTGGAAATAACTTTGCAGGTTCCTCGTTCTCAATGGTAATGACTGGTAAGAATCTCTGGGTGAGCTCTAATCTAGCTCTCCTCTACACCCTAATTTATACCCCCTACTTTCCCAGGTCTTTAATAACCTTGACGTGGATTTCCACGCCATATAAGGAATAAAACTCTATATTTCCCACAAACAAGACAGGCAACATTACCTATTTTTGGTCAACCGACCATAGGTCAATAAACAGCTAGAATTTGTGGACTATTTTGACAATGATTATAATTTAACTAAAACATCACTGTTTTTTACGAACAACTATAACCACGTTCATTTAGTACCTATGATTTGACTTTATAGACCAAATTGAAGAGACAATTTTATAAAGAGCCAAAATTGTCTCAAGGGCCATAGTGCTACACTAGCTGGGCATATAAACAAAGATGAATGAAATGAAATGGAGTTTAACGTCATACTGTTCTGCTCCGGACTGGGCTAATGAAGACGGGCATACGCCATACAGTGTGCTATGCGGGAAATTTTGCCCAGACAGCAGCACTATGGCCTACTCTTATATCGAATTCCAACTATCAAGGGATCTTTTACGTGCATGCCAATGTGTACACAGGACCTCGATTTTTCATCTCATCCAAATGACTAGACAGCTGTCCTTGTCAGGCCCTTCGTCCTGCATCACGGACAAGGCGGGAACCACACTAGAAAAACTGGATGAACTTTCTTGACCAACGCGACCTCCAGACTAGCAAGCCAGTGTCTTACCCACTTAGCCACCACCGTGATTCCCCCTTGTGAAAATCAAAGGTCAAAGACTGGACAACTAGCTGTGCATATGAACAAAGATGTAGAGAGAAATGGAGTTTAACGTCCACTTAACACAAACCAGGTCATTTTGGGACTAACATATGGTTCAATTTTATTTCAATAATTTGCTTGCGCGTAGGTGTCTTTAGCAGTGGAAGGAAACTGGAGGACCTGGAAAAAACCCACAAGGTTGGACAGGCAACCCTCCTCCTTGTCAAGAAGAAATTCGGGAATAAAAACCATGTTAGTTGACTCAATGAAACAATACACACATGCTAACCCATACATGCCAACCTGAGGAGATTGAAAATCAGAATGCCTTGTAATGAAGGTAGAGGGATCGGTGCGAAGCACCGTGAGTGCCGGAGCTTGAAGAGTGTGGGGTTTTTGGCCCACCTAAGGGCCCCAAGAAAATTTTGAGAAATTAGCTCCTTTTTAAAGCAGTACCTTGTATTATTGGATAAAAACAGCTGGTGATTTAGGTCCATGCATCTGAGTTTTTTTTACCTATTTATATACGAAAGACTAAACAAAATGCAAATTCGTGGCTCTACGCGAGGACGTAATGGTTCCTGGAAATTCTTTGCCGTAAGTTTCCGGGTATTTTTGTCTGACATTTGTTTTGGAAGTCGTAAATTATTTATATTGGGTTTTATTTATAATTGTAATTTGTTTTTTTTTCACACATGGAAAACAGCTTGAAAACATTTTTTATCAAGTCAGAAGGAAATATGGCTAAGAAAGAAGCAACAACGTAACTGGCAACTAACGGTAAACCCGCCGTGTACTGTCCGAGTGTGTGTATGCGAGAATGGCTCCGCGTAGCTAATAATATCCGCGAAGTATGCAAATTAGGCACGGCCTATGACGAAATAACCACATGACATTTTAATCCCGATTAGTCCAGACATATTAGCTTGTTCCATTTTATATTAATAATAATCGAGAAAACTGGAGACATGTTTTCGGCTATTTCCGTCGTTTTACCACGAATTATGCAAATTAGACACGGCAAAAGACGGAAATAACCACATGACATTTTGATCTTGATTAGTCCAGACATAATAGCTTATTCCATTTTATATTAATAATAATAAGGAAAACATGACACATGTTCTCGACTATTTTCGTTGTTTTACCGACTCATACTACGACAAACAGTATCGCCATCAGATTCACAACAAACAGCGAGAATGCCGAGACAGTCGTCAATATAAAAATAAAACGAGAGGGATTTTATCAATCAAAAAGGTCAGGCATGAAATATAATAAATTTTTTCCAATAAATTTTAAAAAACGGAATTATAAAGAGTAAAATCGGAATTCAGAGTTAGACTCAGAAAAACAGAATGATTCCGACAAAATCGGAATAGTTGGCATGTATGCTAACCATTCAGCCATCCAACCCGTCCCACCCCCCCCCCCAAAAAAAAATTGAATGTACAATATTATATAAATATAGAATTTCGCCATAGTAACGAAAAATTACCTTTAACATAGTAGATCCTAGTTGTGCTGGCGACATAGTAACTTCAACACCAGCCTCTCGTAATGCCTCTATTTTATCTTGAGCTCCTCCTTTTCCCCCAGCAATAATAGCACCAGCATGCCCCATTCTTCTACCAGGAGGAGCAGTTAAACCTGCTATAAACGAAACTACAGGCTTGGCTTTGGGACCCTGAAATTATAAATTTGAAACTGACAATCCCAAAAAATGAAATTTGATAGGCCGCTTTCATATGACCTAATTCTTAAATATTTATATTGAGAACTTGGTCCTGTATCGCAAAACAAGTTCAACCATGTCTAGAACAATCCTGTGGTTTCTGGCAAGCGCTGTCAAGCAGTGGTCATGAACAGCCGACTCCACCAGAAGAGAGAAAGAGAAATGGGGTTTAACGTCCACTCGACACAAACTAGATCATTTCGGGACTAACATATGGTTTTAATTTTATTTCAATAATTTGCTTGCGCGTAGAGGTCTTTAGCAGTGGGAGGAAACCGAAGGACACGGAGAAAACCCACGAGGTTGGACTGGCGACCCTACTCCTTGTCATGTACAACCAGTGATTCGAAACCACGCCAGTTGACTCAATGACAGGCCTTATGATACAGCGTGCACGTGCTAACCATTCCGCCATCCAACCCCTCCTCCACTAGAAGAGGAATACAGTAAAACAACATAAACTTACTCTGTTATGATTTCTGAGATATTCCGAAGCTTTTTCCTCAGCTTGACCACCAATTTCTCCAATTAAAACAATACCTGAAAAACAGTACCATACATATTTCATATAATAGAAATAAAACTGATTTGCTATAAATAAAAACATGAAATTAAACCCTAGAGCCGCTGTCCGGGCAAAATTTCCCTAATAGCACACTGTATGGCGTGGACCCGTCTTCATTAGCCCAGTTCGGAGCAGAACAGTAGGACGTTAAACCAGTGATGGAATTTCAAAATTTTTCTTGTCAGACATTTTTACCGAAAATAAAGGGGCATAACTCTTATCATTATTTAAGCAGGGGGTCTCAGACCACAATTAAAAATCACGCGTCAACAAAATATTCAAATGTGTGGCTCGTTATTTTTCATATGTAATTCCCGTACGGTATTCAAATTTATGTCAGTAATATTCCTACAAAATTACGTGTTGTCGTAATACGATAGAATGAAAGTGGGTCGACAGTCGACTCGTACTTTTGTTCAAAATCACCTCCAAAATTCCGAAAAAATTTTGGCAGTGACCGTCGCTCCATGATACTGAGCCAGTGAAAACATCTGCTAAATAATAACACTCACACGTGCTATCGTGTAAAACAATTAACTACTTAGATGTACACTATTCCAAACAAAATATTTGTTGTCATTTCTCAGCTTGTTTATTTCTATTTTTTAAAACATAAACCCCATTCAAAATACTATCATAAACCCGAGAATATGCCATCAAAAGAGTAGGATGTTAAACCCCATTTCATTTCCTTTCTTTTCCGACGTGATAATTGTCACGCTTACATCTCTTGTAAACTTTAGTTTTCTATTATTGTATTATAACCAGAGAGAGAGAGAGAGAAATGGGGTTTAACGTCCACTCGACACAAACTAGGTCATTTCGGAACTAACATATGGTTTAATTTTATCTCAATAATTCGCTTGCGCATAGGGGTCTTTAGCAGTGGGAGGAAACTGGAGGACCCGGAGAAAACCCACGAGATTGGACAGGCGGTATCATAACTATGTGTGGGTATTTGTGTAAAATAGCTTTATTTAACGTCCGCTTCCACCGAAGTGATATCGCAGACAAATTAACGGATATACAGTATTAATTTATAAGTTAACGTGATCATTGTCACGTTTACATCAATTGTAATTTCACACGTCTCGCAAGATTTCTACTTTAGTTTCCGATTATTGTATTATAACCACGTGTGTGTGTGTGTGGAATAGCGTTAAACCCCATTTCATTTCATTACCCTATAGGTGCAGAAAAGAACATTAAACCCCATTTAATTCATTCATTCATTCATTCATTCCAAGTATATCTGACTTAATTAATCTGAATATTACTCACCTTCAGTGTCTGGATCAGCTAAGAAAACTTCCAAACAATCTATAAAATTAGTTCCGTTAAAAGGATCCCCTCCAATACCAATACATAAACTTTGACCTAAACCGGACTCTGTGGTTTGATGAACAGCTTCATATGTTAAAGTTCCAGATCTTGATACAATACCTAAAATATTATAACATGGTATTCATGGTCATTAGGGAGAGAGAGGTGGGAGAGAGAGAGAGAGAGAGAGGACTCAATGACAGACCCTGTGATACAACGCGCTAACCCTTCGGCCAACCAAGATGGGTTTAACGTCCACTATGTCATTTAGGGACTAACATATGATTCAATATTATTTCAATAATTCGCTTGCATGTAGGGGTCTTTAGCAGTGGGAGGAAACCGAAGGACCCGGAGAAAACCCACGAGGTTAGACAGGCGACCCTAGTCCTTGTCACGTACAACCGGGTCTTTAGCAGTGGGAGGAAACTGGAGAAAAGCCACGAGAGAGAGAGAGAGAGAGAGAGAGAGAGAGAAATGGGGTTTAACGTCCACTCGACACAAACTAGGTCATTTCGGGACTAACATGGTATAATTTTATTTCAATAATTCGCTTGCGCATAGGGGTCTTTAGCAGTGGGAGGAAACCGGAGGACCCGGAGGACCCGGAGAAAACCCACGAGGTTGGACAGGCGACCCTACTCCTTGTCACGTACAACCGGGGATTCGAAACCACACCAGTCGACTCAATGACAGACTTTATGATACAGCGCGCGCACGCTAACCATTCAGCCATCCAACCCCCCTAGAAAAGCCACGAGGTTGGACAGGCGACCCTACACTGAACACAAAACTGTTAATTTATTCATCACGTGCTCAACAAAATAACGAATACCTCAGAAGAAGCACCCTATAGGCAAGGTCGGTCTTGCCACAATTTTAACAATAACATCATCAACATTTGAAAAGTAGGTGTCAAATTACACCTGTCTCTTATCACATGATGTTATTTCCATGGAAACAAGTTGTAAGAACCCTCATGTCGACTGCAACTAGTTACCGCTAGGTGCAGTGAGTTGCAGAAAGTTGAACATGTGCAACTGTCTGCAACTAGTTGCTTTGAGTTGTAAGAGGCGCTTGGGTCGATCTTTTTCAGTTGCTACCAGTTGCTGAAATGCCAGTTGCTTTCAGCTGCAAGGTCAACATAAGCCCCCCCCCCCCCCCACATTTAGACCCCCACCCACTTAACCTCCCCAACTCCCTAATCGAAATATGTGCCGAAATATGCAAGGTATTACATAAAGGCCTGGATAAGATGTACAGAGTTAAAGCAAGATCAAGCCTTGGTTACATGTCAAGGCTTGGATACATGTACTAAATTATAGTCTCACCTATTCTACCTTTCTGGTGTATATGACCTGGCATGATTCCTATTTTACATTCACCTGGCTGAAGTAAAATAAACAAACCTAGATTTACTTATCATGTATATATTATAGTTATCTACATATATAAAACTACAGAACAAACAGAACCCCATATGGTTCAATTTTATTTCAATAATTTGCTTCCTTGTAGGGGTCTTTAGCAGTGGGAGGAAACCGGAGGACCAGTTGAAAACCCACGCGGTTAGACAAGCGACCCTACTCCTTGTCACATACAACCGAGGAATCGAAACCATGCCAGTTGACTCAATGACAGACCTTATGATACAACACACATGCGCTAACCATTTGGCCATCCAACACCCCCCCCACCCCCAATGCAGAAATGAAGTTTGATGTCCATTTTTTTCTGCATCCACTGGAATAATGAAGATGGGCACAAGCCAAAGTAGTGTTCTGGGGGAATTTTGCCAAGGCATCATCAAATTTCAACTATCAAGGGTTCTTTTACGTGCACACCAACAAATATATGGATAGAACTCATTTTTTTGTCCTGTACTACTGACCAGGCCCCGGTTTCAAATAGCATTCCAGACTTACGTTAAGAATTCACTCAAAATTGTTTGCCTTATTTTAACTTAAATAAAGTCCTTTGTGAAACTTTTATTGTTTTAATGTATCAAATACACCAATATGTTCAAAGTTTTGTGTTTCTGGATCAAAGATATTTCTCATAAACAGTGATTAAAAGTTGAGTAAATTCTTAAGCCTGAGAATGCATTGTGAACTCACTGAGCCACTAAAAAAACATGTTATCCCTAAAAGTGGCTCAAGTTTCATTTAAATTAATTATATAAAATATATCAATTTCATACTTTTATTATGCCTGGACAGTTGGGTCCGATTAATCTAGATTTGTCTTGTCGTGTAAGTCTATGTTTGACTTTAACCATATCTTGTTGTGGTATTCCTTCCGTTATACAAACTATAAGTGGCATCTCCGCATCAATCGCCTCTAAAATAGCGGCTCCAGCGAAAGGTGGTGGCACAAAAATGACTGAAGCATCAGCCCCAGTTGCTTCCCTTGCCTGAAATAGAGAAATGGGGTTTAACATCCACTCAACACAAACTAGGTCATTTCAGGACTAACATATCGTTCACTTTTATTTCATTAATTTGCTTCCGCATAGGGTTCTTTAGCAGTGGGAGGAATGGGGGGGACCCGGAGGAAACCCACAAGGTTAGACAGGCGACCCTGGAATCGAAACTACGCCACCTGAGGAGCTTTCTCGGCCAACACCGGGAGCGAACCGAGATCTCCTACTTAGCAATTCAGCATCTTACTCACTGAGCCACAGAGTATTTTGGAATAAAGGCTGTCATACTTTTATTCTTTTGTAACAGGAACATTTACACAACTCTAAAAACCTATCAAGGATAACAACCCATTAAGAAATTATAAGAAACAATTTGATTGTCGTGTAAGTTGTGCGGCCAGTTTCAACTTTACTGTCATTGTACACTGGATTGTCTTAACTAGTGAGAATTAGTGTGTATTGTGACTGGTTGACTTGGATCTCACCAATAGTTGGACAATTTTTCTCACCTTTACAGTCATTGTTTTTCAAAGCGAGCGATCACTCTCTAACACCTGCTGCGCACCTGAATGTAGACAGAGGGGAGGTTTTTCTCCCTCGGTTTAAAATTAAAAATCGATCTTCCTTACAAGGTCATGGGGGTTTATTATCATTTATAAAACCAGGAATCACTCTCCTTAATATCAGATCACTCTCCTTAATTTCTAAATCACTCTTCTTATCAAAACTGGGAGATCTTTTTAGGGGATCATTTTTTTTGGCTCTCCTCTAAAATACAAACGACGACTGTCTTTAAGTATTATATCTACTGATAGAGAATCTAGTTCAGAATTATTTCCCCTGAATTAGAAAATCGGTTTCAGACCAGTTATTTGATAATCTCACTTACACAGATATGGAAGTAACAGACTTCCGACATGACAATTAGTCACAGCTAAATGTTATTTTTCAAAGAGACTTTCCACGTTACAGTCGCCTGTGGAAACAACTAGATATCTTTGATAAATCTCTGAATCTCGGCAAAACTTAATTAAACATACACTATGCAAGAGCTAAATCTGCCTATGGCAGGTCTTTCTTTAGGCCCGAAATGTTAAATAAACTATTAATTAGACATTTATTACCAAAACAAGACTATCATCGACTCTCGATGGCATCGGATACTCAAGATTTTAACTAGATTAAAACGGTTCGCCATTTAAAAATTTAATTTAAAAATGGGAAAGCGAGGCCAAGTCCCGATTATACAAGTGCCCTGGTTACCACTGTGCACGCATCTTGTCAAAACTGCAAACAATGATAACTTGGCTGAGAATGAAGTAATTTGAATGAAATTTTCAATATTTTCTTTTTTCATCATCTATTTTTGAATTATTATAGCAAGAATGACCAACTCTTTATCAAAATCTTTGTATCTTTAAACTAACCTCTTTAACTGTATTGAACACAGGCTGACCAAGATGAGTTGAACCTCCCTTGCCAGGTGTCGTCCCTCCTACTAACTGGGTTCCATAATCAATGGCTTGTTGGCTGTGAAATGTGCCCTGAAAAAAACCCCAAAAAAACATAATTGTACCTGTTTAACTAAATGAAATCAGGTTTAATGTCATACTCGCCACCGACTGGGCTAATGAAATGAAATGGTGTTTAATGTCCTACTGTTCTGCTCCTAACCTAGGCTAATGAAGACGGGCATACGCCATACAGTGTGCTATGAGGTAAATTTTGCCGGGCAGCGGCACTATGGCCTACTCTTTATATCAAATTCCAACTGCCAAGGGATCTTTTACGTGCACGCCAATGTGTACACGGGCCCTCGGTTTTTAGTCCCATCTGAACGACTAGACAGCTGTCCTTGTTAGCCACGGTGGCTAAGTGGGTAAGACGCTGGCTCACTAGCCTGGAGGTCAGGTGTTCCATCCCTGCATTGACCGAGAAAGTTCATCCAGATTTTCCGGCGTGGTTTCCCCCTTGACAGTGATGCAGGATGGAGGGCCTGACAAGGACAGCTGTCTAGTCGTTCGGATGGGACGGAAAACCAAGGTCCCGTGTACACATTGGCGTGCACGTAAAAGATCCCTTGGCAGTTGGAATTCGATATAAGAGTAGGCGATAGTGCCGCTGGCCGGGCAAAATTTCCCTCATAGCACACTGTATGGCGTATGCCCGTCTTCATTAGCCCAGGTTAGGAGCAGAACAGTAGGATGTTAAACCCCCGTTTCATTTCATTTCATTTCATTTCAAACAACTAGACACTGTTCTTGCCAGGACCCTTGTCATAAAATCACAGACAAGGAGAAGCCATGCTCGAAAATTAGAGAAAGGTGAATCTTTTATAGTGAGAACTGCCAGCTCTTTATCTAATCTTCCATAATGTATCTTTACTAATTATTGTATTACATCAACATCATTTTCATATGTTATGGAGTGAAGTACAGTAAACACAGTTCAAGAACCTCAATTGTTACATTCTATACACAGCGGTCACAATTTTAATACATTATTGAGTGAGACACCAGGTGAGATGCTGGCTCGCTATCCTAGAGGCCGTTTGTTCGATCCCTGCATTTCAAACAACTAGACACTGTTCTTGCCAGGACCCTTGTCATAAAATCACAGACAAGGAGAAGCCATGCTCGAAAATTAGAGAAAGGTGAATCTTTTATAGTGAGAACTGCCAGCTCTTTATCTAATCTTCCATAATGTATCTTTACTAATTATTGTATTACATCAACATCATTTTCATATGTTATGGAGTGAAGTACAGTAAACACAGTTCAAGAACCTCAATTGTTACATTCTATACACAGCGGTCACAATTTTAATACATTATTGAGTGAGACACCAGGTGAGATGCTGGCTCGCTATCCTAGAGGCCGTTTGTTCGATCCCTGCATTGGCCGAGAAAGTTCATTGGGATTTTCCGACCTGGTGTTCCCTTGTCAGTGGTGCAGGAGCGCGGGCCTGACAAGGACAGCTGTCTAGTCATTGGGATGGGACAATTCGATATAAGAGTAGGCCACAGTACCACTGTTCTGGCAAAATTTCCCTCATAGCACACTGTATGGTGTATGCCCGCCTTCATTAGCCCAGTTCGGAGCAGAACAGTAGGATGTTAAACCCCATTTCATTTCATCATAAAATGCATGAATTCATCGACACTAGAACATATTTTCCAAGTTTTTCATATTTTAACCTACTTGTTTGCCTGTGAAACCTTGACAAATAACTTTTGTATTTTTATTTATTGCTAAATTCTTTCGGCTTGCATTATATAATGTTCGAACTGAAGTCGATGATTTTCCAGCAACTGCAAAAACAAGCAATAAAATATTTCAATTATGTGGAAGATTTACATATTAAACAGAGACTGAGAGAGAGAGAGAGAGAGAGAGAGAGAGAGAGAGAGAGAGAGAGAGAGAGAGAGAGGGGATGTAAACTCCACATGACACAAACAAAGGTCAAATTTCAGGATTATTTATTGTCAATATCCTAAAACCTCTATTGCAGATTCCTATTACAGTGGCACTGATTACAAAGCCAATTATTGTTCGAATTTCTTCATATTTACTATATATAGGCCTACAAGCTACTGCATACCTTCAATTCTGCATATTTTGTGGATTGATAGGCCTACCTCAGTACGTGGCTGGACTAAAATTACTAAATGCTTTAGCTTACTGTATTCTAAAAAAGAATATGACATAAAGGAGCTAAATCACTAACATTTGGGACCTAGAAATTGACACAAGTGGGTCGCAACTCATATAATACTGTAATATGAATGTATATAAACTGATATACATTCAATGGTTTCCGTTTTTACTCTAATTTCAAATCAGTTATGTTCCGCGAAATAAGCCTGCAGTCTCAATCGAATGCAAATTTCTAGCACCTGGTTATTCCAGTCTACATACGCTGTTTGGTTTGGTGCAATATGTCTATAGCCTCGTTCCTCGAGTCTCTTGCTAGAACTGGGGCTGAAATGCATTATGGTACACGATTCGTGTACCAATGGCAAAATGTTTATTTTGTCTTAAATATTGGATATCAGAAGCCCATCTTCTTCCGGAAAGATCACAGCATCAATGTTGATTTAAATTGACAAATAATTTGTGTTTTCAATGTTGAAGATTTTGGATGATATTGAGTTAGAGACTTAGCTACTTTAAATCTAAGACTATAATGGCCTATTGTGCTTTTCAAAATTTTAACAATGGTATTTTTATATTATAATAGACCTACTGTCTGATTCATCGTAAATTTTAAACGGATTTCTTAAAATATGAACAAACTACTTAACTTTGGTTATTATAAACTTACCTGTGTGTTTGTAATGAACTCCCGTTCGATAAAATCCATTGCACAACTAATTATCACAACGATGAAAACAATTTCTCTCTTGAAAAATTTGAAAATTTACTTGTAATTTCGACAGAGTCGATGTCAACAATGTCTTCGTGACGTAATGGTCGAATCCAATATACCTGTTGCGGGGGTTGGTTAACATTGAAAGATAGTTTGACAGCGCGATCATTTTGATCGTATATGGGTTTGGGCGACGAAAAATATCAATTGAAGGCAATTACATAGGAGATTTATATGGTAACCATTGATCGCCAGTCTATCAAATTTTCTTCACAATCAAAATATCACTGATTGCACGGATACTCGTAAAAATAAAGTCATGAATAAACTATAAATATCCTATCTTCTTTATGTTATAAATAATTTAACAAGGATCATGAAGCTTATCTCCGAATTCTCTGAGTGTATTTTTAATTTTATACGCATTCTTTCGATCGAATAATAACCGCTTCAGTAACATCTTTAAGCGTGTTGCGGCAGCCCTCAGCGTGTCTATTGCCGTATTGGGTGCCCGGGTGGGTATATAATGCTACTAAGCCCGTATGACCCCGTAAGAAGCGGAACATTAATTCTCGATTCGACAGTTTTGACCGAAGTGTGATAAAGCCCGTAAAACGAATATATAGTTGTGTTTGTGCGGCATGCGTGTTCAAAAGTAAATAATCCCATCCGAGTCGCTAATCAAATAATTAGAACAAAATATTTCAAAAAGTAAAGCTATAAAATTTGCAGAGATTTTACTAGAATGTAAAAGACGGTAACTAAATACAGGAATGCGGGTAGTTATGTGTGCGAACGCTCAAACTCAATGCCAATTGTCGTAGGTATCCAGACCACTCGGCCCAAAGACTACTCGGACTAAGACCAGTCGGACCAAAACAAGACCAGTCGGACCAATTAAATTATATTATAAGGCTAGACAATATGCTATTTATTTATTATTAAATCACAATACAAAGAAGCAAATAATTCTTATACGGAATTCTTATATTTAGAGTTGTTTGGTTCAATTTTGTGTACGGAAAATAAATCAACGATTAGTTTTAAAATTAATTAATAATGGTGCCAAAAAAAAATATCAATCTAATTTTTCTTTACTCTTGCAATGAGACTCGGAATGTCCAGACTTTAGACATTTTCTACATATACGGGTATACTATTCTTTTCTGATAGTCTAATTTTACTTTTTCCACATTCGCGGTATCCCCAGTGGTTTCATTCCGTTCTACCCCACTAACCCCTGGGTTACTATATATGGGGGGGGGAGGGTGGTGGAGACACGTTTTCAAGTTATCCGCCCTTGATGCGTTAATATAAACAGCACATAATAATACGAAGACCGGACGTTTATATGCCCCTTTTTAAACGTGACTACAAGTGTGGTTCTCGATATTTTGCGATTTGGAATACAATTATCAATTTATTCAAACAACACGTTATTATTAGTTCGAGTAGTCATATTAAAACACACACAATTATCAATTTATTCAAATAACACTTTATTATTGGTTCGAGTAGTCATATTAAAATAAACACAATTATCAATTTATTAAAATAACACTTTATTATTGGTTCGAGTAATTATATTAAAACAAACGCAATTATCAATTTATTAAAACAACATTTTATTATTGGTCCGAGTCGTCTTTCTGTTGGGTCCGAATAGTCTTTTTGTATGGTCCAAGTAGTCTATTTGTTTGGGCTGAGTGGTCTATCAGTTGGTCCGACTGGTCTTCAACCGAGTGGTCTTTGGTCCGAGTGGTCATGGATTCTTGTCGTAATTGTACTTGAATTTCCTATGCTGTCACCCCTAATACGAAATGATATCTTCCGCAGAGTGACGTAACCATCTTCCATGTTGGTATTTTTCTCTGGGAAAAGTTTGTGATATTTCAATTTTTCAAGAGAGAACTTGTTTTCATCGTTGTGATAATTAGTTGTGCAATGGATTTTATCGAACGGGAGTTCATTACAAACACACAGGTAAGTTTATAATAACCAACGTTAAGTAGTTTGTTCATAATCGAAGAAATCCGTTTAAAATTTACGATGAATCAGACAGTACCAATACCATGCTATGCATGCTTAACCCCTGTTCAAGTTTTAAAAATAAAGACACATTACGAAATACCTCTTTTGCCTTTTTAAAATTTTAAGTAGATAGTGTTATTATGATTAGTATTAGCCCTACAGTAAATGTTTAGACATCCCTATAAATAAATAAAGCTAGCATAAAGCCTTCACTAGCCTAAAGGTAAGCAGAATAATCGTCAGAATGCATGTGATCATAAATGTTTGATAAATATATGGACTGCAATGAATAAACTAAATAAGCTCTCGGTATTCAATCGATCACAAATTGTCTTTGACTCATTGTTAAACAACTATGCGTATTGTTTATTTGTATTTCTATTGTAATTTGTTATTAATCGCATTTTTACCGGATAACCTAGCTAGGACCTTGCAGGCGGCTGCCATCTTGATTCGTCTGCAGGGTAAAGGTTGCTGGATAATCCAATCAAATTACAGGAAAAACTGTCATGGCCGACTTTATGATTTGTGAATCATAAGTAGAAGAAATATTTCAATGAAAATAATACTTACTTCATTATAAATAGAAATATTTAATGAGATTTGAACAGTTAAAGTGTTAGAGATAATACAGGTAGTATTTTTGGAACTATTAATTTAATGGATAGATAATAAATTAATCGCAAATTCAGATAGGCTAGTTCGTGTTTATTTTTTTAAAATGATTCGCGACCAGTCATTGTACATGTCTGTGTTGACATAACGCTAATAACAGTGGCAACCAGCTCCAAATCAGGAATTTCTCCTTTAAAAGCATTATCATTTGTTGGATGCATAGATCAACTGAACTTAGCGATCACAATAATGATATATAGACTACTAGTAATATCTTCAGTAGGCCTATATGATATCCAGTAATTTGTTGGAGGTTTTATTATATTAGGCCTATTATTTATGATTTTATGGCAAATTCCATGCCATTGGCAATGTTCCACATTTGAACAATTTAAATAAAATGCATTTTTTTTTTTCAGTATGATTATGTTGAAGTTATTTAAATTGAGTTGATATTTTATCTGTCTTACGACGTTAGGTTTTTACCAAAATACCAGGCACCAAAGTTATTGGTCATTTTTTAAAAAGTAGTTGTTATGATTTAGAAGCCTAGATTTAATTTGCTCTGTTGTAATGAAATACATGTAAGAGTAGAAAATGATCATAGTGGCATACTTGTATCATATAAACTAGTAATAAATTGATCCACTCTGAACCGAGATGGGGGATTGGATGGCCGAATGGTTATAGCATGTGCGTGCTGTATCATACGGCCTGTCATTGAGTCAACTGGCGTGGTTTCGAATCCCCAGTTGTACGTGACAAGGAGTAGGGTCGCCTGTCCATTCTCGTGGGTTTTCTCCGGGTCCTCCAGTTTCCTCCCACTGCTAAAGACCCCTACGCGCCAGCGAATTAATGAAATAAAATTAACCATAATATGTTAGTCCCGAAATGACCTGTTTGTGTCGAGTGGACGTTAAACTCCATTTCTCTCTCTCTCTCTGAACCAAGATTTTAGCGATTGAATTTTCGGCCTAGCCTCGATCATCATTAGTGAAGTCGGTACTACGATAAAAAAACATACCGGTAGTCTTGATTATCCATTTCATGAATAAATCGTGAATGGAAGTCGAACAGCAAATCGGAACCTAATCCAATAAACATCGCAGGCTAGCGATGACATCGAGAGTTGATTATGGTCTGGATAAGTTATTTAATGTCTAATTAATAATAATTTAGATAACATTTTAAGCCTAAAGAAATACCTGCAATAGGCAGATTTAGCTCTTGCCTAATGTATGTTTAAGGCATCTTTCAAGCTGAAAATGTTAACAATAAATTATTTTTCCATCTGTCACAGAATACACTGAAAAGTTTCTATGGTAATATTTAAAAGTCTAATAGTAATAGCTGTCTCCTCCTTTATATGGGGGGTTGGTTAGCACAAGCGCGTTGTATCATAAGGTCTGTCATTGAGTCAACTGGCTTGGTTTCGATTCCCCGCTTGTACGTTATAGGAGTAGGGTTGCCTGTCCAACCTCATGGGTTGCCTGCGCAAGGGAATTATTGAAATAAAATTGAATCATATGTTAGTCCCGAAATGATCTAGTTTGTGTCGAGTGGACATTAAACCCCATTTCTCTTTCTCTCTACATGCTATACCTGTTGATTTATTATATTTTTCAGCATAAACAATATAAACACAAAAACTTTAAAACATAGAAAAAAAAAAAGTCTACCGGGTATTCATGTCTGAGATGGAGAACTTGGCAGCGCTTCCAGTTAATCAATGCATCAAAATATTTGTTCAAAGAGACTTCACTGATGGTACAGCTGTTAAATTTCAAAATAAATATCCACCAGAGCTGAGAGGAAAGGTATGTATTAAACTGGTAAATGTACATGTACCTGTACACTACATGTTACTAACTGTTTTGGGGGGTTGGATGGCTGAATGGTTAGTGCGTGTGCGTTTTATCATAGTCTGTCATCGAGTCAACTGGTGTGATTTCGATTCTCCGCTTGTATGTGATGAGGAGTAGGGTCGCCTGTCCAACTTCGGGTCGGCCGGTTTCCTTCCACTGCTAAAGACCCCTACACGCAAGCAAATTATTGAAATAAAATTGAATCATATGTTAGTCCTGAAATAACCTAGTTTGTGTCGAGCGGACGTTAAACTCTCTCTCTCTCTCTTTCTCTCTCTCTCTCACTCTCTCTCTCTCACTCTCTCTCTCTCCTCTCCTCTCCTCGCCTCTCTGGTCTTCATTAGCCCAGTTTGGAGCAGAACAGTAGTATGTTAAACCCCATCTCATTTCATCTCTCTCTCTCTTTCTCTCTCTCTCTCTCTCTTTCTTTTGCTTGACCAAAGTCAGTATCTATTGCTGTCACAATGGCAACCACACAGGAAATTAAAAATCGCTTACAAATTGCCATAGCATATAAAATCACCTGAGTGATTTAGGCTTTAGCAATCATTCATAGATATATTGTTTACACCCACTACTTAATTTTGGTGCTAAAAATCATTATTATTTTGCCTATTTTCAGATTGATGAATCCCAGTTTTCACAGACATTAAATACATTAAATGGATTGTATGGTGAAGCTGAGAGTTTAAGTAGTAGAACGTATTGTGAAAGTTGTTTTGCTTGTTTAACAGCGTATCTAGCTTACATGTGTATGGATACTTATTATGAGAAGGTAATATGAATAAATACTATAACGATAATAAATCTCATGTTAATGATACATTATGGGAGATTCGATAACGAGTTGACAGTTCTTACTATAATATTTAAAAACTAGATAATGTAAAGGCAATTTGCTTAAAATTTCATTCAAATTGATCCACTATGAACTGAGAACTAAGTGAATGAAATTTCTGCCTAGCCTCAGTCATTACTAAAGTCAGTACGATAAACAGCACAGTCTCGATTATCCATTTAATCGTTTAATCGAGAAGGAAAGTTATGCAGTAAATCGGCTCACAATCCACTTAAGATAGCAGGCTAGCGATGCCATCTAGAGTTGATTATGGTCTGGATAAGTTAATTAATGTCTAATTAATAATTTAGATAACATTTCAGGCCTAAATAAAGCCCTGCAATAGACAGATTTAGCTCTTGCATAATGTATGTTTAAAGGAGCTAAGTCTCTTACTCAATATCATTCAAAGTCTTCGACATTGAAAACACAAATTATTTGTCAATTGAAATCAACAATCAACATTGATGTTGTGATTTTACAGGGAAAAGATGGGCTTCTGATATCTGATATTTAATACAAAATAAATATTTTACCATTGGTACACGATTTGTGTACCATAATGCGTTTCAGCGCCATGTGGAACAAGGAACTCGAAGAATGAGGCTAGACATTCCACAAGTTAAGTCAAACGGTGACACTATATTCTTATCTGGAAAGCATGTGCAATAATTACTATCTGTGTAGACTGGAATAACCAGATGCTACAGATTGACATTCGATTGAGACTTTGGTGTATTTCAGTGAACATAACTGATTAGAAATTACAGTAAAATCAGTTTATATACATATTACATTATTATATGCATTGCGACCCATTTTTGTCAATTTCTAGGTCCCAAATATTAGCGATTTAGCTCCTTTAAATCTATATGATATGAAAATGAAATGAAATAGGGTTTAACGTCGTAATATTCTGCTCCGTCTCAACTAATGCTGACCATTATGTACTCTAGAAAAATAACATTAGATCTAGAGTGGTTTAAGTTCTATATAAAAAAATAAAAGGAAAACATCATTTTTCTGTTTAAAAGTGTTTGTATATTCGAGTATATTATAATTTCAGTGTTTAAAGAAGGTTAATCGGTATATAGAGGAACAGAATAAAACTGTGTATGTACCTAGAGGTGTAATGTTAGTAGATCCAGTAGAAAGAGGCTTAAGAGTTGTATCCTTTATAAAAAAATATCAATAGTGCAGGGGGGTGCAGCGGGTGTGCCGCCCCTGGGCCTATAAAAGTCTATAGGGCCCATGATTATGAAATTGAAATGGGAACTTATGCATGAATGTTTTATTGTTACTTTGAAGTATATAAGTATGTACAAAAGTTTTTGATTTATCGCAATCTGCTAGTGAATCATCTATATATAGATATCACTAGTGTTTGAAAGGGGGGGGGGGCAAAAAAGGTCTCGCCCCAGCACATTTTTTTTTTCCTTTCAAGGGCCGTGCAATATTTGGCCATAAAAAAAAATGAATAATCTGTTCAAGGATACCAATATTATTCCATGTTAAAGGGGCATTATGGAAGATTAGATAAAGAGCTGGCAGTTTTCACTAGATAAGGTAAGGGGAATATGCTGAAAATTTCAGTCAAATTGCTCAACTCTGATCCAAGATATTAGCGATTTAATTTTAGGCCTAGCCTTGATCATCATTACTAAAGTCGGTACCATAAAAAATAAAGTCTCCATTATCCATTTTTGTGTTTAATCATCAGTGCGCATTGAACAGCAGATCGGATTCAAATCCAATGATGGCATCAAGAGTTGATTAAGGTCTTTTCATGTGAATAAATGTCTAATTAATAGTTTATATAACATTTAAGGCCTAAAGAAGGACATGCGATAGGCAGATATAGCTCTTGAATCACTTAATAAAAGGTCGCATTACCCACTTTTATTTCAAAAAGATATTAAATAAGAACATTCTTAATCCCAAAATACCATAGTAAATATCTGTTTGCTTGCCTAGTTTGTTTTGCAAGAACTTTGGATTTACCTCCCTTGCTCTTGATTTGATATAAGCCCAGGTATTTCAAGGAAAGGGAGAAGATAGTAATGGGAAGTAAGTCTGATTTAAGATCAAATGTGCCATGGCGTGACCTTCAGTTTGCACTGATTTTCATTCTTTGGTCGAAATATCTGCATCCAAATGGCATTTAGTTCAAGCTATGGTCGTGACCAGCCATACCATGTAATAGAGAGTACAGTCTGGCTAGTTCATAGTTCAAAGTTGATGAATTTTTAGATTAAGATCCTCTTTTTCGAATAGATCGGTCCACAGCATAAAACCATGTGAAATGATCATGGGTTACATAATTCCTGGAAAAATGTTCTGATATTGTCTAATCCTATTTGAAAGCTACTTCATCGCCATTGTCAAAAAATAGTTCCTGTTGCTTATTAGAAATTACCCGGATTTAATAAAAAAAAATTGGGAAACAGAATCGATATACAAGAGTGTTCCTTGACGAGGGAGCCACGGTGGCTAAGTAGGTTAGATACCGACTCGCTAGCCTGGAGGTTACGTGTTTGATCCCGGCAATGGGTGAGAAAGTTTTCCGACGTGGTTTCCCCTTGTCAGTGGTGCAGGATGGAGGGCCTGACAAGGACAGCTGTCTAGTTGTTCGGATGAGGCAGTTGAAATTTGATGTAAGAGTAGGCCATGGTGCCGCTGCCCAGGCAAAATTTCCGTCATAGCACACTGTATGCCCGTCGTTATTAGTTCATTTCATTTCATTTTAATTCCTTGACGAACTGTTTAGTTGGAGATCTGTTTACTGAACGAGACCAATCACCGGTGATGATACAAAAAAGAAATCTTTATACATTCTTCATCGCTTTCATCTAATCAGCAATCAGCTTACATAACCTGTAGAAGTATTATTTCTGTCTTTAATGGATTCAAACCCACACCAAGCTCTAATAAACACGATTGCTGACTATATTTAAGTTTACAGAAAGAAAAAAACAACTGTGATATCATTAATTCGAAGTTGAAGGAACCATCTTTTACTTTTTTAAAATGACAAAATGGATGGTAATCAAGGATACAGGTAGTTTAAAAGATAATCTTATTAAAACACAGATCCTATTTCGTTTTTTTTACTTCAAAATTTCGTTTTATTTGTCTTTACTACACTAGGATCTGGAAGAGTTGTTATATAACCTGCGTTCTGGATGGCGTGGGGGATTAGCAAATGAAGCGGTCTGTTACTGCGACTTCTTGACGTGCGATGCACAGAACGGTGGCTAAACCACTAGAAACGTCAATGCTGATTGATTAATCAATGTTCGACGCTATAGGGTCAAAAGCCGTTTGTACGACCTCTGACTACAACTGTTCAGATCTTTATGTAGTGTAGGTCATCGAAAGTATAAAAAACGAAACGGAATATAGATCTGTATTTTAATCAGATTGCAAACTGTTTGTATGTTGTGTGAATGCTGCCATGGTACATGCCTTGTTTTGTTCAGTTATCAAGCAAAACTGAAAAAAAAAAAAAGTTAGTAATTCAACCATACCATAAAAAAATAGTATCTAAAAATCATGAATTAGAAATGAATTTTTCTTGGATCATTGAACACCAAGGGCCTATTTTAAGGATGCAGTTTTTCCATTGGATAAAAGTTTAAATTTTGATACGAATTTGAGATCTTAGCCAATGAGAAATATGGATACTTAAAATATATTAGTTTAAGTTTTCGTCATTTAGGTCCCTTGATTCTCAAATGATATTTATGTTAGTATAAAGTGTACAGCATATTGAGATCTGACCCGGAGTTCCCAAAACATTCTCAGACTTAAGTTAAGAATTTACTCAACTTTTAATCACTGTTTATGAGAAATATCTTTGATCCAGAAACTCAAAACATTGCACATAGTTTCTTATTGATGTATTTGATACATTAAAACAGTAAAGGTTTGATAAAGAGCTATATTTTAGTTAAATTTAGGCGAACAATTTTGAGTAAATTCTTAAGTCTGAGAATGATTCGTGAACTTTGGGTCAGGTAATGTACAAAAAATAATGTATAGGGGCTTGTGTGTAATAGTATAACGTATACATAATCTGTTAATTCTGGTGCACACAGGCAATTGTTTTCTTGCTGGTTGAAATAACAAGAAATTGTTAGGCCAACAACGTTTCTGTCGAAATCGCTGTTATGTTTGTGCACGAACAAGCAATTAGCAGGCAGTAGTTCATAGATTGCTACCACTAATTATGGGACCAGTCAAAATCTAATTAAGGTAGGCCGCCATTTTGTAAAATCACATGATATTTTAATTTTCTCTGATTGGTCAAAGAACAATTGCTCCATGAGTGATTGCTTTGATGTACAATCAAAGCAATGAGCAATCCTTTGATATTTTGCAAGTCCTTACCAGCGACAAAAATTTATATCCATTGCTGTCACAATTACGCTCGCACCTAACTTACCGAAGAACATCACCAGTATGTGCTAGGCCTGAAGTCCTAAAGGGGAATTGTCACTGTTGGGGGAGAGGCATGGTCTAGTGGTTTAACGCGTGCGAGTGAAATCGCAAGGTCTGTCATTGAGTCGAGTGGTGTGGTTTCGATTCTCCTCTTGAACATGACAAGGAGTAGGGTCACCTGTCCAACCTCGTCCCCTGGTTTTCCCCCACTGCTAAAGCTCCCTATGCGCACACAAATTATTGAAATAAAATTGAACCATATATTAGTCCCAAAATTACTTAGTTTGTGTCGAGTAGACGTTAAACCCCATTTCTCTGTCTCTCCGGAAAAGTCCAGTTATAAAATTTTTCATAAGCTGAAATAATATATCTTAAAGGGGCATTACCATTTTGAACAAGAAAATAAATGTACATTAATAATGTAATACAACTTCATTTAATATTGATGTATATTGTCACTGCCCTTTAGTCCATTGATCTGTTCTTCCTCAGTCTGATTTAAACACAGATCCTATTTCGTTTCGTTTTTTATAGTTCAAAATTTCGTTTAACTTATCTTTATTACACTAGAGTCTGGAGGAGTTGTTATATAACCCACGTTCTGGATGATGTGAGGGATTAGCCAATGAAACGGTCTGTTACAGCGAGTTCTTGGTGTGGTAAACGCCTAGAAACATCAATGCTGATTGGTTAATCAAATATCTGATGTCATAGGGTCAAAAGCTGCTCGTAAGACCTCTGACGCAACCTCCTACTGTAACTTGTCAGATCTTCATGTAGTAGAGGCCATCGAAAGTATAAAAAAACGAAACGAAATATAGATCTGTATTTTATCAGATTGGATTTTCCTGTTCATGTACACTTGTACGTACATGTAATATAAGTCCATGTTGTTCAGTCGATTTGTCTGAAGCTTGATGTGTCACCTTATATCCATGAGAGGTTGAATTTAAAATCAATTTTTCATTTATTCGTGAAGTTCTTGCCTTGGACTTTGTCATAATTGATCAAAAGAAACTTATTGACCATGAAAATGTTTCAGTTTAAACAACATTTGTATAAATTATTTGTGGAGTGATTGCCCTTGAGTTATCCAAAATATATCAAATTTTACTAGATTGAAAAAAACCAAAAAAAACCCCTAAACAACTGTAAGCCATAACTTAGTACTTATTCACTAAATATTATCACTTTTAATTGACTCAGGATGTTGATAAAATAGAGGTTTTTTTAAAAGCTTAGGTTTCATGGGGTTTTTTTAGGATGAAAAATATTAGAAATATCCATTTTTTGTACATGTATGTTTTTATGTATAAATTGTTAATGTACTTGTTATATATATATATATTGATTAGAGAGCCACGGTGGCTCAGTGAGTAAGGCGCTGGCTCACTAACTAGGAGGTCTCGGGTTCGATCCCACAGAGAAAGTTTTCCGGGATTTCCCAGCAGGGTTTCCCCTTGTCTACGATGGCTGATTTAGGACACGCAAAAAAAAAAAAATGCTCGAGATAGTTAAGTCGAGTGCTCGAGATAGTTAAGTTAAGTATAATCAGGCACCATACTTGTCAGAGGATGGCATGTAAAATAAAATAACCCTTGACAGATGGCATTTGAAATAAGAATATGCCATAGTGCAGCTGCCTGGGCAAAATTGCTCTTGTAACACATCGTATGGCATATTCCTGTCTTCATTGGACCAGTTGTAGCCCGTTAAATTTAATTTCATTTCTATATAAATTAATGTGAGGCTATATCTGTCTAATATATTTATTCTATAACAGCTTTATTAATGACTTATTCACTTTAAATAAAATAGCACTTGCATGTTCTCAATTTTCTGGCAATGGGGTAAGCTAAAAAGGGGTTAGATAGGGTTGTGCAATTTTACAGCAGACTGTGATTGCAATTTGCTTGTGTTATACATGTCATATATTGATTGCTTGATGGATGAAATAAATATTTAAACTCGAGGAAAAGAAAATAAGACTCGGTTTAAAGCTGACTATTCATTATTGATAATGAGAGTCCAGTTTAAAATAATTAAGGACTGTTGCAATTTTAAATAATTAAAGACTGTCACAATTTTAAATAATTAAAGACTGTCACAATTTTAAATAATAAGAACTGTCGCAAAATTTCAACACTTGCATCAAATCGAATAACTCGACGGGACGAGGCGGTTGAACGACACATCCGGATAAAAAATTATAGATTAAATGTTGGTTATTGTTGAATCAAGAACGGAAATATGTCAACATTTTTCTACTCTTGTCAGTGTTCGGAGCCACAGTGGCTAAGTGAGTAAGATGCTGGCTCACTTGTCTGGACGCCGCGGGTTCAACCCCGGTGTTGGCTGAGAAAATTCATCTGGTGCAGGACAGAGGGCCTAGTCTAGTCGTTCAGATGAGATGAAAAACCAAGGTCTCATGTACACATTGGCCTGCACATAAAGATCCCTTGGCAGTTGGAATTCGATATAAGAGTAGGCCTTAGCGCCGCTGTCCAGGAAAATGTCCATCATAGTGTACTGTATGGCGTATGCCCATCTTCATTAGCCCAGTCGGAGCAGAACAGTAGGACGTTAAACCCCATTTCATTTATTGTAAGCGCTGATTAGCAGGTTGGTGGGCCTACATCTATACGCAGATTGATTTTGCCACAAGTGTTGAAATCTTACGACGTTGCCTTGATTAGTAGCATGTAAATAAACTATGTTACGTACTCATGTAGAGGTAGATATTAATTAGACCATGGACCGTTTATATACGGTCCATGATTAGACAGCACATTAAAGATACCTTATGGACAATTAGATAAAGAGCTGGCAGTTCTAACTATAATAGTTAAAAACTAGATAATGTAAAGGAAATATTGTGAAAATTTCAGTCAAATTGCTTCATTCTGAACTAAGATATTAGCATTTGAATTTTGGACCTAGCATCGATCATTATTACTAAAGTCGGTCATATAAAAAAAATAGTCTTGATTATCCATTTTTAGATTAAATCATCAATGAGTGTTGAGCAGCAAATCGGATTCAAGTCTGACACATATATAAGATGGCTTCAAGAGTTGATTATGTTAATAAAAGTTTAGATAACATTTCAGGCCTAAATAAAGACCTGCAAAAGGCAGATTTAGCTTACATAATGTATGTTTAATTGGACTTAATGGGGTTTTTTAATTGCCATAATGACCAATCTATGGCACTTTTGAATAAAAGAAAAGACTAACGATGGCATCAAGAGTTGATTATGGTCTGGATAAGTTAATTAATGTTTAATTAATAATTTAGATAAAATTTCATGCCTAAAGATAGACCTGCAATAGGTAGATTTAGCTCTTGCATAATGTATGTTTAGTAATTTATATAACACATAAAGCCTAAAGAAAGACCTTTAATAGGTAGATTTAGCTCTTGTATAATGTACATGTATGTTTAATTAGACAGCACATTGATAAACACGATTGTACAGAAGTTATTGTAGTGCTATATTGTAATTTTATTACACTCTTGTTCCAAAGATTTATCGCTTAATCCTTCATCATTAATTATTGTCTGTTTAAAAACTGTATGTTAATAAATATTGATTGAATGTTAAATATCTGTCAGTATATCGTCGGAAATATTAAAGATTCATTATGGGAGATTCGGTAACGAGTTGGCAGTTCTCACTATAATAATTCAAAACTAGATAACGTAAAGGCAATTTGCTGAAAATTTCATTCAAATTGATCCACTATGAACCGATAATTAAACGATTGAAATTTCTGCCTTGTCATTACTAAAGTCAGTACGATAAATGGCATAGTCTTGATTATCCATTAAATCGTGAAGGAAAGTTATGCAGTAAATCGGCTCACAATCCACTAAAGGTCGCCGGCTAGCGATGCCATCAAGAGTTGATTATGGTCTGGAAAGGTTAATTAATGTCTAATTAATAACTTAGATAACATTTCAGGCCTAAAGAAAGACCTGCAATAGGCAGATTTAGCATAATGTATGTTTAATAATTGATCATTTATGAATTTAGATTGTTTTTTTCTATCGTGAATCAAGGTAAAATTCAATATTATTATAATCAAAGTTTCCATAATTGTTGTTGTGAGTATGAATAACTATGTACATCATTCTGTCTTGTTACAAATAGGTTAATGTTGTTGCTGTAAATTTTTATACAGCCATATTGAAATGTGGTTGTATATTGTTGTCAGTTTGCCAGTCGTCCACAATTGATTGTGGATGCTCTAGAGGCTGAATTCATATCTGATTGACTTGAAATATATAAGCAGTCTTTATGTTCATGAACCAAGAAGCCTATTGATGTTCAAGATATCTGATAATTACTGTTAGAGTTATTACCCTTGATCAGTTAGAAAAAAATCTTGTGGATGCTGTAGAGGCTAAAGTTAATGATCCCATTACATACAAATGAATAACAATGTGATAGATAACCTTATGGACTACTTGGACACCTTAGCTGTTGGTGGGTTTATGTTTTGTTGCCTGGCAACCCATGTTTTATATTTTCATTACAACAATCATTAGCTGCATCTATTTATAAACATCTCACCTCGGACATTGATTATTGAAAAACAAATAAAATTATCTTTAGTTTCAAAATGAATGATATATTGAATAGATTTGAAAATTCCTCTTAACTGAACAAGCGGGGTTGAGTGGTTTAACGCATGCACTTTATATCGTAAGGTGTCTGTCATTGAGTCAAGTAGCAGGGTTTCGATTCCCTGCTTGTACTTGACTAGGAGTAAGGTCGCCTGTCCAACATCGTGGGTTTTCTCCATGTCCTCTGGGTTTTCTCCCACTGCTAAAGACATCTGTGCGCGGACGAATTATTGAAATAAAATTGAACCATGTGTTAGTCCCGTAATGACCTAGTTTGTGTGGAGTGGAGGTTAAACCCCATTTCTCTCTCTCTCTCTCTTAATTGAACAGACACTACAAAAATATAGGACATTGGGAACAAAAAATGAGTTATATGAAGTCAAAGCAAAGAAAGCATGTTTCAAAAATGATATTTACATAAAAAGTATTTTAAATTTTGAGCAAGGTGAACTAGAAACCTTTTTCAGTATTGTTTTATGCTTTGTATTATTGGTAAAAAAAATGTATCACCATAATTATTATTCTGAAAAGTATAGATATTGGGAACAAAGTAAGTATATGTACTTTATGAAGTCAAAACAAACAAATGTGTAATTAAAAAGTATTTTAAATATTGAGCTCAGTTAATTAGAAACCCTTTTTATTATTTTTTCATGCTTTGTCGTTATTGATAAAAAAATTTTTTACATGTATCACCATTATCATTATTTTGATCTTGGGAACAAATGAGTGGCTTTAAGAATTCAAATCAAACAAATGTGTAATTCAAAAATGTTGTGGGTTTTTTTCAATTAATTTTTTTTTTTTTTTTTGGCTTGCTTGTTATTGTTATAAAAAAAAAAATTATCACCATAATCATTTGTTTGACTATGATCTTTAATTTTTTTTTAATTTGAATATCAGCATCAATCATTTAAATTTTTATATCAGTGTTTAAAGTCCTAAATATAACTAATTTGTCATAGGTTATCAGACATCACAGAAATACATTAGATACAGACTGAAAGATTTTATTTCGAGAATTAGATAGAATTATCTAGACTTTCTGTAGCCTTGACTTGATTTATATCTGTTAATTGTATCAAATTATTTTGGAAGAGCTGCAACTGAAACAATGCATTGTGCTAAAAAGATAGGAACATTAATTAAATTATGCATCGACACAAAAAGATAAGACCAAAATTAAAGATACCCGTATACAGTTACTCGACTGACCCTATTTATTTTAGTCGAAATTGCTGACCCTAAACTTGCTTACTCCTTTCCCAGGTCCTGTAACTGGGTCTTGGTGTGGTTTTCTGGGGACAAATTCCAACAATGATATTTCGGGGTTATTTTCGGGAATCTAAATTAAGCGAGAAAAGCTAGGAAATGGATAATACAAAACTCAGGAAAAAAAAAGAAGTTTTTCCGACTAACCAGTCCTATTTTTCCGGACCAAGGAATTTCTTTGCGGAGGGGTTGGATGGCCGAATCGTTTCGATTCCCCGATTGTATGTGACAAGGAGTAGGGTTGCCTGTCCAACCTTGTGGGGTTTTTCTGGGTCCGCCAGTTTCCTCCCACTGCTAAAGATTCCTATGCGCAAGCAAATTATTGAAATACAATTGAACCATGTGTTGGTCCCAGAATGACCTCCCTCTCTCTCTCTCTCTCTCTCTCTCTCTCTTTGCCAAAGAACAATTAATTAAATTATGATTTATCACACACTCAGATGAGGAGATAAAGAAACAAATTAGGTGTCAAATAATTTTTTTAAAATTTATATTATATATATTTGGTGTCAGAAAAACTTGAATAAAATTATAATAATTTTGGAATTAATAAATTGACACTTGTGTTGATACATAATAACAGTTGTTATCTAACTGGGAGGTCCTGCGGTAATTAAAAATTTTAATTAAATAGGTTAGCAAATGTTGATCATGTCCCAGTCGACTCTGACCATCTTCATATATTGTGTATGTACATTAGAAAGAAAATAATGTATTTTAATAAAGATTTATGATAAGCAAGGTATTTAGAACCAAACTATTACGAAATGAAATGAAAGGGGGTTTAACGTCCTACTGTTCTGCTCCTATACTGGGCTAATGAAGACGGGCATACGCCATACAGTGTGCTATTAGGGAAATTTTGCCCGGGCAGCGGCACTATCGCCTACTCTTATATCGAATTCCAACTGCCAAGGGATCTTTTACTTGCATTCCAATGTATACACGGGACCTTGGTTTTTCGTCTCATCCAAAGGACTAGACAGCTGTCCTTGTCAGACCCTCCTTTCTGCACCCAAACTATAACAGGTATATTAGTAAATGCAGGAGGACCACACGACACACAAAACAAATCCAGTAAGACAAACCTGCGGACAAGACAGACTACACAGTTCAATTGAACTGGTATATACAGGTCACAATTCTATGGAATACAATTACTGAGCATCCGGTTTCCTCCCACTGCTAAAGACCCCTACGCGCAAGTGAATTATTGAAATAAAATTGAACCATATGTTAGTCCCGAAATGACCTAGTTTGTATCGAGTGGACGTTAAACCTCATTTCTCTCTCTCTCTAATTACTGGGTGACGTTTCTACTAGGCTTGATAATGACTAGAGAAGCCTAGTAGAAACAACGCTCAGTAATAAGCAGTAAAATACAGATGTGACATCATTCTTTGATGTTGGGGTACCATTATTTCCAATAATGGTACGGGCAACTTGCCAATCATACATTATCTATACTAGATGAAATATTGGACTCGTGTGACGTATTTCATTGAAAAGCACGTGCAGGATAGTGTCTGTATTTTAAGTTGTTTAATGGTCTCAAGCTAAAGACATTGCCTAATATATTGAAACAACACTTGGCTATCAATATATTACTTAATATCTCGCTTTCGATCATTAAACCATACAAATTGTATTCCATAGACTTGTCACCTGTATATAGAGAGAGAGAAACCCACCAGACACAAACTAGGTCATTTCGGGACTAACATATATAATGGTTCAATTTTATTTCAATAATTTGCTTGCGCGTAAGGGTCTTTAGCACTGGGAGGAAACCGGGGGACCTGGAGAAAACCCACGAGGTTGGACAGGCGACCCTACTCCTTGTCACGTACAACCGGGGATTCGATGCAAGAAATAAACAACAAATATCCAATCAGATGAATGGATGGGTTATATGCTATCATATATTGAACAGTAATATTAAACTTTGATCTATTGGCATATTGTATAATATTTAGATATTATCAATTGGGTTAGAGTAAGCATGTTCAGTGTAAAAGTTCATTGAAGATTACAATTTCACAGAAAAAAACCGGATGACAGAGTTTTACTTCTGGGAAATCCACCACAATATGAGAAAGCGAGAGAGAGGGAGATAGAGAGTGAGTCCACTTGACACAAACAAGGTCATTTCGGGACTAACATTTGGTTCAATTTTATTTCAATAATTTGCTTGCATGTAGGGGGGGTCTTTAGCAGTTGGGGGAAACCAGCCGACCCGGAGATAACCCACGAGGTAGGACAGACAACATTACTCCTTGTCACAGACCTTATGATACAGCGCGCATACGCTAACAATTCGGCCATCCAAGCCCCGCACCAAAATATAAATGAATGAATTAAATAATAAGTGAATTAAGAAGAGATAAATTTTTTTCACTAAATAATTGAATAATCTTTTTAGCTTTTCAGATGTTAGTTCTTTTTCTAACCTTAATAAAATAATTAATATTTTGTAAAAATTTCCTTGATTTAATATTTTATCATCAATATCACAGTTCAGTTTTTATAATATTTTGTATATAAATGTATATTTTAAGACATTGTTTTTTGTGTAATTAATTTATTTACGTTCTTGTACCTGTCCATCATGAGGTCGATGTAATGGAAACTATTTCATATTGTTTTTATGCTTTATGTGTAATAAATGCTTGAACAAATGAAACACCCAGGAATCTTCTGATTTATTTAAATTTGTGGCTATTTGATCCAGCTAAAGAAGCTAAGTCTCTAACTCAATATCATCCACAGTTTTCGACATTGAAAACACAACTTATTGGTCAGCTTAAATCAGCATTGATGCTTTTGTCTTACCGGGAAAAGTTGGGCTTTTGATATCGAATATTTATTTGGCACACGAATCGTGTGCCAGAATGCTTTCGATCACCATTTGCTGTGAAGTGACTCAAATGAGTAGACTGGAAAAACAAGATGCCAAAACTGCCATTCGGAAAATAACTGATTAGAAATTACAGTAAAAACAGAAATGATTGAATGTAAATCAGTTTATATACATTCATATTAGATTATATGCATTGTGACCCATTTGTGTCAAAGAATAAAGATTTAGCTCCTTTAAGGTAGGGCAATACAGTAGTTTAGTGAGTAAGGGGGTCATGGGTTCAGTTCTGGAATTGGTGGAGAAAGCTCCTTTGAGATAGGGCATTACAGTGGTTTAGTGAGTAAGGGGGTCATGGGTTCAGTTCTGGGCCCTGTTTCACAAAAACTTTAACTAAAATCATTAAAATAGATTTTAACTAAAATTGCACAATTCCGGTGAGGTCACATAGGGTGTGAGCGTACACGCTTCGGAACTGAAAACTGTTGCCAGGTTGAACTAACCGTTACAATACCAATGAGGAGGGTTTCATACGTTGTAACAATGTCTGCACATGGTCAGTCAATCGCAGAGAGATGAAATAAATACGTTTATTGCGTGTTTTTTTGTTTTGAAATGTATCAGTTGGTTGGCCTTGAACTTGCATGTCGCTTTCGTGACCTTGGCATTTGATTTACTCGCAGGCTTCAATGGAAATAATGCATAGGCCTATCGATAAACTAAATCGCTTGAATTTCGTAGTTTTATGGTATTTTGGATAACAGAAACTACTGAGAAATTGTCACAAACATGTGATATTTCTGACTCAAACGATTAATCTAGACTAAACTATTGTCAATTTTTAAAAGTATTTGATAACTTTTAAATT